AAAATGTGATATGGGCCTTCGAATTATGGGATGTGTATGTGGAACATGGTGGGGAGCAGACCCCTGTGCTCTGTTGCTAATATATAGAACACTGATTCGTTCAGGGATCAAATGTGCAGCCTTTTGGCTTGTTAACTTTTCAAAATACTTGTGAGTAAATTTAGAAAGAGAACAATTTAAATAGTTAAGAATTGCATCAGGCTACCAACGAATGTAATTCTTGCACAACAAGGGGAACATCTACTGAAGGCAAGATTAATTCTTTTGCGTATGAATTATTTGAATAGATGTTTTCAATTTAAAAACAATTATTTGATTGATGTTCCGTTTAAGATAAACTGTGACTCAAACGTTTTAAGTCTTACATAAGAAAAATAATGAGAAATCTTTCTTAGTGATAGGTTGTGATGAATTATCCATTCTTGTACCAGCGTTAAGAAATTTGATGGTGCCTCGTGTTATGAGAAGGATTATTTTGTACAGTAGTAAATTAATTGTTAACCTTGATATTAGTAGGGAGATTGCAACTTCTCTCTGCCTAAATGTCTTCCTAATGGATCACTTTTTCATCCTTCCAGATGGTGTTGTGAAGAAATCTACTCTTCTGTATACTGGTGGTTCAAAGGATGATCTCAAGTGCCCAGTAATTATAGCACAGACTTGGTTATGAGCGGACTGCTTTGTGCATTTGTTCGCTGACATCATACCCACTACCAATTGTAATCATACCGCCAGCCTAAGCTAAAGAAATATGAAACAGGAATGAAAAGGTTAGTAGGCTGCGGAAATTATATACCAATCTTATTCGTACACGTGAACCTGGTAGTCTGACTTTCAATGTAAAAGGCAGCCAGAGAACATTAGTTTTATCAGAATAGTAATCTGAAACAGAGAAGTGAGACTTGAAACACAAACAGTATTTTCAAACACGCAATGCGCGCGCCGGTAGGCTAAAGTCATTTCTTGACCTTCTGTTTTTCTTCATGTTGCAGGATTGGCCATAGAGGCCCGTAAGGGTAGAAATGGTCTCAACGCGGTGGCGTGAACGTGCATTGCACTTTCCGTGCTTTCACAAAACTGCACAAAGGGCTCTATGAGTTTTATCTGAAACGATCGAGCTTCTCCAGAAGGACTTTGATCAACATTTACTACTGATCCAGGAGTGGCTGAGCTGGGGCGGGTCAAAGTCAATGTGAGTAAGCAGCTGCAGCTGTACTCTTCACACGGAAACTGCGATTCACGCAGCCAAGGCCGCTCACGCTATGCGAACACGCGATTAATTGGGCAAAACATGTTAAATATTTAGGTGTCACATTAGACAGCCCACTTACATTTAATCTGCACATCGAAAATGTGCGAATGTTAGAAATGAGACTTGAAACATAAATTTAGTATTTCCAAACACGCAATGCGCGCGCCAGAAGGCTAAAGTCATTTTTGACCTTCTGTTTTTCTTCGTGTTGCAGGATTGGCCATAGATGCCCGAAAGGGTAGGAATGCTCTCAACGCGGTGGCGTGAACGTGCATTGCCCTTTCTGTGCGTTCACAAAACTGCACAAAAAACTCTTGGAGTTTTATCAGTAGAACAGTGTTGTCCTCGTGGAAAGGTTCGTGACATCCGTGACAAGATCGTGAAGTTGATAAACGTGAATATGGCGAAGACGATGAAACTGAGTGCGGATCTTAAGAAGGTCATTGTGAACTTGGCATTAAGAGGATATTCCCTCAGGAAGATTGGAAAAGTGGTGAACAGATCACACTCCACTGTTCAGTATATAGTAAACAAATTTAGGTATAAAGGTTCTATCAAGAATGCAAAGAGAAATGGGAAGGAAAAGAACAAGAGAGATGAGAGCATCATCGTGAGCGAGATTGCACGAACACCCACTTTAAGAGAACCGCACCTGCAATCTCGAGTTGAAAACATGACTGGTAAAAGTGTAAGTACATCTACCATTCGAAGTGTTGTACAAGTATGGGTAAAAAACACGGCCGAGTTCCTAGAAAAAGGCCTTATGTTAGTAAGAATAATACGGCTACAGATTATAGTTCGCAAAAGAACACGTTGAGAAGGACGAAAAATTCTGGGACATCGTCCTACTTGTCGGATGAGACCAAGATAAATATTGTCGGCTCAGATATTCACAGAGTATGGAGATAAGCAAATGCTGACAATGACGTCATTAATACACAGTGAAGCACGGAGATGGGTCATTAATGATCTGGGAGTATGTCATCCAGAGGAATCGGCAAATGCCCTTCATTGAAGGTATTATGGACAAGCAGGTGTTCAAACTTCTCAGAACAAATGTGAAACAAAGAGCTGCAAAGTTGGGTATGTCGGCAGCTTACATGTTCCAACAAGATAACGATAGCAAGCATACTGCAGGAATTAATAAGGAATTGTTGATAGGGAAAGTGCCAAAGCAACATAAAACGCTAACACAAATTCCAGACTCGAGCCCGATAGAACATATCTGGGCAATTTTGAAGAAGAATGTTCGTAAAGCGAATGTATCCAGCAAGGAGGATTTGAAAAAGGTAATAGCAGAGGCATGGATGAAATACAGTTTGCAAACATACAGACGTCTTGTTCGATCTATGCAACGCAGATGTCAGGCAGTTATTAAAGCAAGAGAATATCCCACAAAATATAAGAGCCGTTTCTGAGTTGAATATGTATTGTGAATTATTCAAGTGTACTAATAGTAATGATACTAGTTTTTGATGTATTATTGTTTCATAGCTCTTTATTGTCTATGTTCTTTAGTTGCTGTAAGATTGTTTTTTTTATATTTTGTTGACATTATGACTTACAATCTCCAGAACGAACAATAAATTTGATTTATCGAACTCATGTGCCCTTTTATTGTATCCCAGCCATAACTGTACGAATAACAGTGGTACATACTGTATATTGAATTTAAAATTGCTTCATCCTCTCTGATTCGAAGAGTGTCTGGGTTTCTCTATCTAATATTAATAGAACTAAAAAATCGATTATTTATTTTACACATTATTTTAGAAATAAAAAGATATGTGAACATGCAAGACAGATTAATCTCAAAATTTGTTTAACTTGGATTCCTGCCCATGTTGGTATTAAGTGAAATGAAAATGCTGATAGAGAAGCTAAATTAGCCATAAAAGATAGTATGGTTTACCCATTCCATATTTCGGTATCTGATGTTGCTGTAAACAAGGTGGTTTGTACTCAAAATCACGTTGCAAATATTGAAAATATGGGCCGCTCTAAAGGCAGAGAGTACTTATTTCTTTCATTATTATAGAATACTATCAATATGGTTTGAGATCTTCAAATTAACTAGAAAATAAATTGTTGTCATTAATAGATTAAAATCAAGTCTTTCATTATTAAATCATAGTTTGAATAGATTCAAATTTGTCAATTCAGGTTTGTGTGAATGTTGTAAGTATGACACCGCTTATGGCATTGCACTGTACATTATTTGACAACTTAAGGTATATTATGATGTTAGAATGGAAGAGTTTTCAATTTTGAATCTTTTTTGGAATGCAATTTGCTATATGGTGGTATACGTATGTCAACCCCCCCCCAAAAAAAATTTTTTTTCTATCGTGAAAAGAGAACTTGGAAGCCGGAAGAGGCGCCACGTTATAAAAAACGAAGTATATATTACGTTTTCACTATACTTGGGTTTTTAAAACGTGGCACTTAAAGCCCCGTCTTCACGATGTAATATCTCACGGCATTTCGCGTCTTTCTCAGACGTGCCACTAGATGACGCATAATCACAAGCACCAAATACTATAGTCTCTATAGTATTTGCAAGCGCTGCAGGATCCGTTCGCGATCATGAGACATCTATACTTAAATTTTTATTTTTTGGCGCATGAGGGCCTGTCTTCAAGATGGAATATTGCACGGCATTTTGCATCTTATTCAGCATGCCATGCCATATACTTCCTTAGTCTTATGCCCTAGTAGCTTGAAGTGAACCCAAGTATGACTCGCGCAAGTTTTCTTGATATACGAGCTCCCTACTAATAGTCCTCATCCAGCGCTGAATAGAAGGGAACGTTGAGGTACTTCGGTTCAACTAGGCGTACCAATTTACAGTGCTACCAACAACCACCTCGTAATTTCAATCAAATACTATAGAGACAATACAGGCACAATATAACAGTTGTACTGTGATACAGGACACTTCGCGATATATCGAGAAACACTGATGCCAGCTCCATCTAGTAGCAGAACCTGATGAAAAATCATACAGACCGACTTCAGTGCTCTGTTGGTGTTTGTTTTGCGCTCGATTTTTTAAAATTTGATTGTCTTTCTGGCCAACTTCTGGAAAACTTATTTTACAATACTGTTCTTGGCATCCTTCCTTATGCAGGAAAAAATTGTGCAGTTTTGGCTGTTTTAATTACGAAATTCAAAAGAATTCGCGTTCGTTCTTCACGTAAAACTAGTTTATCAAATGTGGATGAAAAAGCATAAATTAAGAAACTCGCGTATTCTGCCTAAGCAGTATGTGAATGCCACTCTTTTCTACCAAAGTGAATTAGCTATTAGTTTTCTAAGATTAAGTATGTTTTCGATAGAGACTTTAAATTGTTTACGTCACAGTAAACGTGAGGTCAAAAAACAATTAATGCAATTCATTAATATTTAATTGGAAAATATTGTATGTAAGGAGTGTACTCATTTGCATGTAAGCAGAGGTATATTGTATTGATAAAGTGCTTTTTAAAGAAAGTAAATGAAAAAATACCAAATGAATCACTGGAAGTGTTAAGGCAAGAAAAATCTTGCATTTTGTGACCATTTTATTGTTGGAATATATAAAACATCTCTTTTGTACATTATTTTCCGTAATTTAAGACATTCAATATAATTAAGTCACAGAAAAAGTAAGTATAAATGAGTGTTATTTCGTGAGATCAATTTAAAAAAAGGATTTCTTCCCTAAGAATCATATTGGTCTTTATTTGGCGCTGAAGGACCAGGTTCTGACACTAGAAGCGCTAGTGGGAACTTGTTTCCATAGGTTGCGTGGAAGAACGGGGAAGTGTCCTGTATTGTCTCTATAGTATTTATTTCAATTCAGTCGTAGCATTTCTCGTGACACGCTTTGGCGAGTAAAGTTCATACCCAGAGTTGGCACGCCCTTTTCAGCCGCTTACATAGCAGAGCCCTTCTGCCTCCACCCAACCGCTGTTGGAATATCAAGAAAAACTAGTCGAGTAAGTACTATGGTCATATAAATGTTGCCACTACGACAGAGTAATTACCTCATTACCGTCCTCTCGGTAGTTGAATAGCGTGTTAGTACAGTAGTCGACAAAGAGGCTAGTGCACAAGGTCAAAAACTGGACACTGTTAACCAAGAGGTTAATTTTTGAGTTGCTTGGAAGTTTTAGTGACGATCAAAAGACCTGTAGTATTTTTGTGTAAGGGATAGTTCTGCCCCTATTATCACTATTTCATAAAATTGAAAATGTCCGCAACATTGTTATCATCTTTGCCCTTTTGAAGAATTGTAAGTCTCATGCAATCTATTGACACCATTCTTACTGATTGCGATGGTAGGTGATTAATATACATAGTCTAAATTCACTGTCATTTTGTTTAGAGTAATAATAAATACATGTTCTTTACATTTTAGGTGTTTTATGGCTTGAAAATTTCGTTATAGATGGTTCTCCAGAAACAATTGATTTGTTACGAAAAATGGGCAAAAAAGTATATTTTGTAACAAATAACAGTACGAAAAATAGAAATGAATTTCTTGGAAAGTTAGAAAAAATGGGTTTCACTGCTTCACAGGTCAGTGAAGATACAACACGTGCATATTATGAAATGCCTTTTACAAAGAACACTTTAATTAATTTGTATTTAGGATGAGGCATTATGCACTTCTTACCTCACAGCATGTTACTTCCAAGAAATTGGTTTTAAAGGAAAAGCTTATGTAATTGGTGAAAAAGGACTTTGTGAAGAATTGCAGAAAGTGGGAATAACGCATCCTGAAATTGGGGTAAATACTTAGAACTTGTAAATAACTTGGCATGTAGACTTACTTTAACTTATCACATTTTTTTAGCCAGATGTGGTTAATACTGGGTTGGTAGACCTCGTGGGAGGTTTCAAAAAGGATCCTGAAATTAAAGCGGTTGTTATTGGATTTGATTTACATTACAATTTTGTTAAAATGCTAAAAGCATGTAGCTATCTGAAAGATCCCAATTGTAGTTTTATTGCCACAAATACTGATGAGAGATTTCCTATGAACACTGAGAATGTAGTGCCAGGTAATAGAGTTTATTGAACTGAATCTTCAAATTTGTTGATTTCTTGCTTATTGTTTCAGTTGTTCATGTACTTATGCAAATATTTCAGGAACAGGATGCATAGTAGCAGCAGTTGAAAAATGTGCTGGTAGAAATGCTGTCAAAATTGGCAAACCAAATGATTTTTTACGCGAAGTGCTGATCAAACATCACAATGTTGATCCAAAAAGGACATTGATGATAGGAGACAGGTACATTTCTTGTTGTTCTTTTAGTATTTGAAATTGCTTCTTTATGTGTACGTATTATAAATTTACTGTCTAATTTATAAGTGTTAGTACATGTTTTAAAAGATTATTTGTTTTAAATGGCTTTGAAACCAAGTTTTTTTAAAAACTCATTTTCATTAATGTATTGAGCCCTTTGGTTTTTCACATTTATAATAAAAGAGGACCTTCAAAATAGGAAAACAAAAACAGATAATATAAAGATCCTAATTGTCATCCACTCTCCTGTTTCAGAGGAAATACTGATATTTTGTTAGGCACGCGATGTGGCTTTAAAACTCTTTTGGTTTTAACTGGAGTTACAAGTCTTGAAGAAGTACACGAGTGGCAGAAATCTGATGACCCCGAAGTGCAAAAATGGGTGCCGGATTTTTATCTTGATAGATTAAAAGATCTGTCTGGTCTTCTCAACAAATGTATATGTTCTACACCGGACAGCACTAGTAAATCATAGAATTTCTAAATTTATTATGGAAATATTTGTAATGGTATTTAAATTTTAAATAAAATAGTTCAATGTTATTGTTTTTGTGTTTTTAAGAAACCATTTTTACTGTTCTTCTAATTTATGAGTTTCCAAGAAGAATTTTTTACTAAAATCTAATGAAGATTTTTTAAAGATTATTGTAGCTGTCTTAAAGGAAATACATTGTTTTGTCCAATGAAATATTAATGGCTGTAGCTGTGCTCAAGTTAACTATCAAAATCTGTTGACATTTTAAATGGGGAAATTCACAAGATATTTTGGATTTTAATTTCTTTGTATGATAATGATTTTCTATTACTTTTATTTTTCCGTACTTGAGTTGGAAATTGTACCATTCTTTTAAGGATGTTTTCAGTTACCATAATGCTTTTTTTCATTTCTGTTCAGTCTAATTAAATAAGTTTTAAATATATAGGTACTTTTCTGTAAAAATGGGTCCAAAATACACTATTTTATGGCTTTTGCCAAAATCAACTTAAAACTTAGTTTGTAATGAATTGTTAAGAAGATACAGGTTCAAATTATGCATTCAAAAACTGCTATGAGGTGTTAACCAAATCCACACATTCCACCTTAACCATTCAGTGGGCATTTGTGAAGACAGTGTTTCTTAATATCCTATATTGAAATTTCGTTCTGAATATTAATATGGGTTCATTCAGCTGCATTAACCTATTTAATATAATGATTTCAAATCTAATAAGGTAAATAAACTTGTAATTACAGCTTTAAAAGTAGACATGTTCTTATTTGATTGGATTTAATGGACATATCACTGTTTGATTGAACGTGCAATGGACATGTTTGCTTTCGTTTGATTCAAAGAAAATGACTTGATGTTTACCACTTCATTATTGTTAAAATAATAAAATGACTTTGAAGGCATCAGAAACAATTTTAAATATGCAGTCCAATGTCAGCTCTTAACAGCCACATTCATTACATCTCTCTTCTTCATCATCATCTTCGTCATCATATGAACCTTCCTCCAAAAATGGTCTTATACCAGGATACAGAGTCATTTTTCCCAGTCGTGCCCTTATATTGTAACTAGCAACGACTCTATATTCTTCTTCTTTGCTGCTTGTACTGCATTTCTAAGTGGCAATATTACTACAGGAATAGAGAAAGATATTGCAGACAGACAGCCCTTTTTTTGAGTACTTTTGTATGTTTCACTTTCAAATCTGAAATGTTGTCCTGCTTCAACTTTAATAAGCATCATTTCATGATTACAATTGTTGGTGCGTTTCTCTTTCTTAATGGAAATTTGCATTTCCTCAGAGATCATCTTAATGTTTTTAAAGTGGTTGGATAAACTTTTAGCATCAATAAGTGACTAATTCTCGTAGCTTAAGTACTTCACCAATAGTCTCGTATAAATCATATTGCTCTTCTTTTGTTGCTAGGGAGGGGTGTTTTAATAGCAACTTCTCCACTCTACCAAAAAGTGTGAATAAATAAATTGTTCTTATTCTGTCTGCCGCATCCATCACAGAACAGTTTCAATCTTGGGATTGCAGTACACTCCTTGGATTGCAAGAAATGTAGCAGTGAAGATGAACTTCTGTTGCACCCCTGGCTGCAAGTTGCAAGTGTTAATGTAAAGATTGGTTTGTTTGCTTTGGCACCAACAATGCAAAGAGTACAAATAGATTTGCCTTTTGTACGTCATTCGACAAAATAGGAGCCTTTCTGTTGGTTGAACAGACATGTTTGATTGAAATTCTGTGGACATATTCTTGTTTGCTTTGAAACTCAGTATTTCAGCAATGAAATTTCATGTGACATGATTTTATTTGCCAGAAACGGACTTAAAATACTGTAGGAACTATTCTATATATTATGAAACAGCCACTAACTCTTTTTTTTTTAAAGTGGATATTTCTGTATTTGATTGTTGCCTCATATTGTGAGCCAAGTTTCTCATTTCTTTCACAGAACCTGCTCAATGTTAAAAGTTTGGAATTTCCTTCAACACTAATTTTATTTTTCTCCTGACTTTGTCGCAATTTACTCATTGTGCGATAATGAATAAAAAATGGATGTTAATTCAATTGAGGGAAAAAAAATCTACAACTAATTGCACAAGTAAGTTTCATTTGTTTAAGGTCGGAATAAAATAAGTACCTTTCTGGTCACATTAAAATCAATGCTCTGTAATTTAAAACAAAAAATGTTACTGTTTGAAAGGGATATGTATTCATAAGTGTCATAGATAAGGACAGGCAAGTTCCAAGCAAATGCGTTTTTATTTACGCTTCGTATAGCTTTCAAACTTTGTAAATATATTTTTCATGGCATACTCATTTTTAAAATGCATACTATTTCTGTGTGCGTTTGCGTGTTTTGGTACTTTTGAGAAGAAAGTCATGCATAATGCATGTTTGTATATTTTTTTCAATTAATACTGCTTATTTTGATGTATACTGGTTTGTAGCAATTAGAAAATTTTCTAAAGCTATTTTATCATAATTTATGAAATTTAAAATTATTTCCAATTTCGTATAAATAACATAGTACTGTTAGGTCTCCTAATGGGTGCTATGATTGTGAAAGGGGTACATGCGCTGTGTGGCACAATCGCAAAACAAATCAATACCAAGCGATTAAGTAACAAATGATAATGATACAGGAAGCTGTAACTCAATTTCATCTGATAATGGGTAAGAAAATAATCAAGAGTAGACTGTCAGTCCGCTTGCATACAAAGAATAAATGAAGTAAGTTTTAAAAACCATGATATAAAAAAATTAACATAATATATAAAATCAAATTTTGTAAAACTGCAATTCAGAAATTAGAAACAGCAGGTTTACCTTTCATGGACTCATTAAAATTTGTTAAAGACATTAAAATGTCTTTGAAATTACTGTTTGAAGTTGTGTGTTTTGCTGCAGAAAGAATTAATATAAGTCTTAAATTCAAATTCTGATTTGAAATTTCCCCAAAATGTAAAAAATGTAATTTGTGGTGAAAAATCATAAAATTTGACCTCACATTTGCTGAAATTTCATCTTTGAAGTATACTCCAATTATGACTTGTCATAGAAAAAATTTTCTGCATTTAAAAATGTTTGATTTGGACAAAACAAGAAATTTGACATAGTGAAAATGAGAAAATTTTTAATTATTTTAAAAGGCAATAAAATAAGAAATACAGTAAACTCAAATTTGATTGTGCATGTTTTGACAATTCTTGTTCTGCATTGTGATTTGGCTATTTGGTAATGTATGTTTGTATGCATATTTTAGCATTTGATAGTGCATGGAAATTCTGTCTCTAGTCGTTGAGTATTTGTTTTGGTAACATTATTAGAATTACATGACGCACTCCATAATATTGCTAAATGTGACATGTGTATTTGTTTGCAACATTAAAATGAAGGCTTCCAGTCATTCCATCAACCTGAATATCATATACTACCTGGATGTTGATTGTTTGTTGTTGCTTCAAGTGACTTGCTCTATTCTTTCCATAATTTTGTGTTTGTTTGTCTACTTATTTCACTCTTACAGTACTTATTGCTTAGTTAATTTTAGCTCTAGTTTAAATAGTTTGTACAGTACCAATTATTTTTCGTTGCATTGTGCCTTTGTTCCTTCTTTCATTGCATTGTTCCTTCTGATGTTATTTGATTGACATACTTCATAGCGTAGTTCTTTTGGATTTTAATTGATTACACTACATAACAGAACTTTTGTTTCTGTATTATCAATATCATTTTCTAATTGGTTCTATCATAACAATTCGAAAAAACATTATTTCTCTGCAAGAATTTCGCTTTTGTGGTCAGGAGAACAAAAAGTTGAAATTTGTGTAGTTGTTAAGGAAACGTGCAAATTTTCGAGTTTATCGTGTAGTTTATAGTGTAGAGAAAGATGCAATGATGCAGAAAATTGATTTTGAGATTTCAACAGTAATACACGTTTTGGGCTCCCCTGATACTGATAAAGATTTTTTTAAACGTCCATCTCTTAGTGAACACCACTATTGTGCCTAAACCATACGTGGCCATATGTACGATTTCTTTCAAAATGGATATTCCCTAATCGATCTGGCTCGACTCGAGGAGATGCAATTTTGACCAATTAATAATAATATATTTGGCACATAAATACAGAATATGCCATGTATGACAAGTCAGGATATGTATATAATCATACAATGCACAATGCAGGTATTTCTAAAAATTAAATGCAAGACATAAATTAAAATTCAATTCAATTCTTGTACTAAATACATTATAAAATGCTAATTAATTTTATAGATGGTAGTGTAAGAAGACTAAAATTAAAAATCAATAATAATAGAAAAAGAGAGAAAAAGAAAGTCTTCAAAGATTCGTGCCTGGGCAGGGTCTGTCCTTTATACCCAACAACCAGTTTAGGAGGGTTTCAGAACATGCAACAGAAAGTGCACAAATTATTAGTACTAGTTTATATTATATTTTATAAAAATTATATTATTATTTATAAAAATGGAACTCTCGTAAATTAATTTAAATTGAAGTAAAAACTGTTAAGATTTTAAAATACTATTACAGATCATCTTTTTAAAATAGTATTGCCAAACTGATTGTATCAAACAATTATGAAGTTTTATTGAAAATGGACATTTTACGGCGTTAATAAGCATACCTTTCCCTATTCCTGTGTAATTAATCGAAAGACAACTAACATTTTTTTAGTAATCTTGAAAATGGAGTATGGATGTCAATGATCTACTGTAGTCCTTCAAATTCGTGGGATCTGTTTAGTCATGTTGAAAGCGGAATATCAATTTTTTATAAAATTCTTACTCGTGCGTTGAAAACTAATGTTATTTACAACAGTACCTATATTTTTTCCGAAACCTATGTAAGGATTATGGACCTCAAACCCTGCGGTAACTTCAGTCCAAGATCGAATTTCACGCCCCCCCACAAAAAAAAAAACTTTCCTTAAACATTTTAAGCGGGGCTATAGTATTGGTTGGGAGGGAAAAGTGCTGAGTAGAACGTAGTGCGTTATTAACATGTAGGTTAAGTAATGA